AGTTCTCTTCTTGTTGTCAAAAGTCCACTTAGGCCTATTCAATAATTTTAGCATTTCAGTTGACAAGTCGAACTATCTTCTCTATATTGCTATCGTACTAGTATGATCTGTGCGATTCACTTACAGTTGTGGCGAAAGTTACCATAATTCGTTTGGTCTTCTTTTTTCTGAAGATCCTCTGTTTCTTTTGTTAAAGTGTGCCCAGGCTGATCCAGTTACGTTAGAACCATGCTTTGACGGAATAAAATTATCCTTCTTATCTTTTTTATACTGTTAGTTTTACTCTAACATATTAAACGTCAGACCTATCACCTTTGTAGTACTTAACTTCACACAGCTATATTCTCTTTTGCAGTTATCTGTCTACTGCTTCCTGCTCGTCTCACGCTAGTTATATCTTTATTACATAGTCGTCTAGCCATTTTCTATATTCTCGACACCAATTAGTTATAAAAAACTTTTACAATCCTCTGGTTTTAACTCTTATTATCACAAAACTTAAAAATAATAAAAATATTGACTCACAAATATAAATTAATCACTAATATTTAAACCAGACAATCTTTTATATCATGACAGCACCCCTGATTCAGTCAAAACAGCACTAATCAAACGCCTCCAATTTTAATATAGTGTCAAATTTATAGATATTGGCACCTTGAACCTTTTAGAAGTCAATACTTACAAGAAAATTTGTTGCTGCAACTTCTTGGCGAGACCCACTACGCGAATGTGACAAAAACAAAAGCCATGTTCCCTAGGAATTTTTGACGGCAGATCGACACCAAGGAATTTTTCTATAGTCCTATAAAGGATGGACCTATTGCACAATTTGTGTCATTTTCGCTTCCTTTCATACGTAAGTCTTTTATCGACTGGAGTAATGCTAAAATGGCAGTTGCAAAACATAAACAGTCTCAGGCTCACCTCACGGCAGCTGAACGTGCATCACTGTTCGTGAATGTGGATCGTACCTGCAAATGTCTTCGTTCTATTATCAATTGCATTATACTGTGTGGGCAACAAAACTTCCCAATTTGTGGACACAAAGACAAAACTATTGCTTTTCACGCCATCATCAATTTTAGGGCAGAAACAGATGTGGATCTTTAACATCACTTGTAAACTACTCCCAGAAAGGCCATCTACTTTAATCACCATACTCAAAACGACCTCATTGAGTTGTGTAGCCAACAAATTTCCAACACTATCATCAAGCAGATAAAAAATCCAAGTATTACTCCGTCCTTGTTGATGAGATGGCTAGCTTCAGCAAAACAGGGCAAGTTGCCATTTGCTCACGATACTTGAATGCTGGTGATTTCCAAATATGCAAGGACTTGATATATTTCGTTGATACAAAGGACACTGCCAGTGTAACTTTCACAGTTTAATCATCCCACGACTGGAATTGTAGTTGACTGTATTTGTTGGACAGGGATATGATGGAGCAGCCAACATGAGTGGGCATGCACATGGAGTACAAGCTTTTATTCAACAGCAAAATCCCAAAGTCATGCATGTACATTGTCGGAATCACAACCTTAAGTTGGCCATTGGACCTTCCTCTTGTATTACGCCTGTTTGCAACATATACGACACTGCTGGTAAAATTTCTAGTATCTCTAACTGTATATGGATCATGCAGCAGACACCACTAACAAATGCCCGAAACTCATTCTGCCTAACTTGAGGGCTCAGCGTTTTGACAATGTAACATCCAAAGTTTCTCACCCATCATCAACACGCTAGACATCATACAAGATAACAGTAACACATCTTCCCAAACAAATGCTGCCTCATACTTTGCGACAATGACAAAATTCGATCTTATCATATCCCTGTTCATTGCACGACAGATGCTTCACCACACGCATCCCTTATGTGACTCTCTTCAGTCGGTCTGGCTAAATGGTTAGGGCGTTTAACTCGCTATCTGAGGGTCGCGGGTTCGAATCCCCGTCCTACCAAACATGCTCGCCCTTCTAGTGACTGTCAATCCCACTATTCGTTGATAAAAGATTAGCCCAATAGTTGGCGGTGGGTGGTGATGTCTAGCTGTCTTCCCTCTAGTATTACACTGCAAAATTAGGGACGGTTAGCGCAGATAGCCGTAGTGTAGCTTTGCGCAAAATTCAAAAACAAACAAACAAACATTAGATTTAAACGCGGAACAAACCTACAGTGCATTAATTCTAAAACTGGTGGCCCAGTTTCAATCAACGATGCTGGCAAGTGTGCTTGAAAACAACATCATTATTTATATTTAAAGGTGTAACTCTAAAATTAATCTTATTAACCATGTTCTTATAATACAAATGCGTATTGTAAAGCGTCTATTTAATCTAAAAACAATATAGGCAACTAATTTCTAATATATATATATAATACTTTTAATATGAAACTACACGAAATGTCATGGATATTTCACAATATGTCTCTTTTTCTCTTCGATCTATTCGTTTTTGATATGAAAATATGTGAAGTTTATGGAATGCCTACTAGTTTGCCTTAAGAACTAAAAGGTCACTATTTCTTTTTTGTACTATTTTTCTTCATTTATATGTATCTTAATGAATACAGTTGTACGAAATGTTTAGATTTCCATAAAATTACGATACGTTTTTTCATTAATAATCAAGAATTAGACATTATTACAGCATCAAGCTCTAAGTTTGAAAATGTTCAGGAATCGACAGAAATTTATTGGCATTAACTAAACATCGAACAAATTGTTTTCTAAATGCAGTGTAGACATATCACTTACGTTTCTTGTTCTGCCCAAAACGACCCCCAGTGGCACAGCGGTATGTCTGCGGACTTACAACGCTAGAAACCGGGTTTCAATACCCGTGGTGGGCAGAGCACAGATAGCCCTTGTGTAGCTTTGTGCATGATTAAAAACAAACAAACTGTCCATAATGCTCTCTCGTTACCCCACACCCTCTGTACATATCTTTATGCACTCTGTACCTGTACATACAAAAAAATGTCTACGATACGTTAACACTAAGCTACATCTTCCCATTTACCTTTTTCTTTCAACTTGATTGAAATTTCTAGACCCAAGAATAATATTACTGACACAAACTAAAAATAAGTTTCACACAAACTTTCCTTCTCTAGCTATTCTGTTTTCCAATTTGAATGTTGGGCAATTGACACCAAAAGGTCTTTTTTTTTACTAAAGCCCAGTAATATTTTAATGATTCAAGTACATTTAGAACATTATTAATTATTTTTTACTTCAAAGAGTATTCGTCTTATTATTAATTACTCAAATGTAGCCCGTGTGGGTTACAACTGTAAAGTAGAAAGCATTTATCTGCTAATAGATGTAACTGTATAAGTTAAGAGTTGCTTGAGTTTAGAAAACATTAAGATTAGCTTCCATAGTGTAAATGAAAACGGATGAACGCTGTTGTGAAAAGATTAAGAAGTAACGGAAACACACACTGTAAAAAAAATCCCGTAAAAACACACGCAATGAACCGTTATTTCTTAATGTTAAAAACCGTATTTTAAAGTATGGTTAAAACATTGAAATAATGTGAAGAATACTATAAAAATAAATACATAATTTATTTTAATGAAATTATCCATAAGTGTTTTTAATGAATATAACCATATCCACATATATATATATTTATATTTTATGTGGATAAACCGTTTAAAGCATTTCTACGTGTTATTTGTATA